AGGCGATTTTACGGATATTTTACGAGTCTAGGGGGCTTTACGGGCCTTAAACGTCAATGCAACGGGGACAATTTTGGGGAAAGTTTCTCGGCTGGTGGTGGGGCACCTGTGTGCCGATTTTGAACGAAATCGGGGGGGACCCCCCATTGACCCAAAATTTTGATTTTCCCGTAAAAACTTTCCTATGGGGAAAAAGTGGAATTTTCCTGCAGGACTGTGTCTGGGTAAACGAGAGCTTTCGATTGATACCCATTGTTACCATAGCACCACTTTTTTGTCCGTACAAAGGCGATTTTACGGATATTTTACGAGTCTAGGGGGCTTTACGGGCCTTAAACGTCAATGCAACGGGGACCGTTTTGGGGAAAGTTTCTCGGCTGGTGGTGGGGCACCTGTGTGCCGATTTTGAACGAAATCGGGGGGGACCCCCCATTGACCCAAAATTTTGATTTTCCCGTAAAAACTTTCCTATGGGGAAAAAGTGAAATTTTCCTGCAGGACTGTGTCTGGGTAAACGAGAGCTTTCGATTGATACCCATTTTTACCTCTTTGTGACGTCATTTCTAGGGGAAAACGGGTCATAAAGGTTTCCCTCTACCGGGGCCTTTTTTCCCCCTACCGAATCTGTGCTGTGCTGAATCTGTGCTGAATCTGTGCCAACTTCCGTTACATGGGCCGATATGCCATTCTAGCGCGACAGGGCCTGAATCTTCGAACGGAACCCTTGTTTTTTTCGCGAGTAATTCGCGTAAAAAGCGGCCGATCGCAACGAAACTTTCATTACCCTCGCGATAATTACTTTTACAGCTAACCTGAAAATTTCATGAACCTGACCTTAATGATCTTTGACCTGTGACCTTCTTTCGAGACCATGTTTGGCCGGAATCGCGATTCAGCGTATGTCGGCTCGCATTAGCCGCGGGTTTCCAGTCTTTTCTTGGTTTAAAGCGTTCAAACATGGGATATTATGTTGCTCCCATGCATTAGGGTGGGTGTCAAGGTCACCAGAAGATCAGGTAAGGTCACTGAACTTTGATGACCTTGGTTCACTTTTTCGAGTTTTACATGTTTCTAGGCTAGTTTTTGGAGCTGAATTCGAATCTAGCAACCATTTGAACATTTACTATGTAGCTTTGGTGCCTTTGCAACATGTTGCAAAGCTGTCAGAGGCGGTTGCCACCTACTGCAAATACCCGGCAAAACCCTTACTGGTTGACCTGACCTGACCTGACCCGACCTGGCCTAAATGTATGAAGACATCATCTATGATCGTAAATAACATTATATTCGTGATCAGCACCCAAAAAAAAAAAAACCATAGCAGCCACCCTTTACGACGTTCTAACAGGTCCCGATTTTCCCGACTTTTGGGTTATTGACCTGACCTGGAAGGTCAACCAATGACCTAGGACCTTACAATTGGGTATCATCAGCTTCCTCTTGTCACGGGCAACACGCTCGTCTTTTCTGCGAAGCTCTAGCTCGATCAGGGGCGAAACGGCGGGGGGGGGGGTCCAACGGACCCCTTCTATACGTTCGCGGTTGGAAAAACACCACGGGGCGAGGGTTGAGTCAAATCTGAGGGCTTATTTCAGAAAGACCGCTAAAAGAGCAATTGAATGCACTTTTCCGCGACGATGTAGCTCTATTGGTCCCCGAGGTAAGGGCCGGTTTTCGAGAAATGTTGATATATGCAACATTTTACCTTTGATGACGTCTGGTGACGTGACCTTTGACGTGACCTAGAAATGACTAATTACTCCATCTGGAATTTCGGGCGCTCTTTCGAATGCCACTTACTACGTGTCGCTATGTGGCCCAAGAGCCGAGTTAGAAGGGGAGTGTTCAATCAACACCTCCCGGCCCGGCGCGTTTGACGCCGAGCACCGGTCCGGCGCGGGTTGATGTTTGGCTGCTACATCCAAAGTCGCAAAAAGTCGCAAAAAATGACTGTTGGATCTTGTAGTGCAATGAATCATTGACATGTAGCGAGATTTTCGAAGCGGTACTCCGCGGTACTTTTTTTAAAAGTCTATTTGTGTGTGACATCAATTATGTGAAATTATATTTTCGTCTTTAAATCTTTGCGGTGCCAATACATCATAACCAAGTGAGAGTTCGCCATTTTCATGTGGTTATGTGTGTTCTGCAGACCCGGAGCTATCGTTTAATGTATATAAATGTGGAATTCCTCCTCAAATTGTGATTGTTTTCGTGGATCAAAGATACGTTGTCGAAGAGTGCGGGGGACGAGTTCGGTGCAAACGATTCCGAAGTTCGTGTTTAAGCTGAGTTTTCGCCATGAAATAGCAATTGTGTTGGAAAACAAAGACCACAGCAATGTAGTATGATCATTTTTGAACAAATTGGTATAGGTTTCATTGCACATCCACAAAGTTCGATTTTTTACCCATGTCGTGCTAGACCTGGCGATCGGCCCAGTGTGCGGCGGCCGACCCCGCCCCGGGTCACCTAACGCCCCGGGCGGTGCACCAGTGCACCCAGACACATCCGTGGGGCGCATTGTCCCACTGCCAGTCCCCAGCAGACCGAGCACATCAGCATAACACATTCGAATGTTACCTGGAGCTTCATGTTATACGGAGTCTGAGTCGAATTAGCTGAGCTATGGTTGTTCGCGCATCCTCCGGGGCGCGTAAGAATTCAAAATAATACGGTGCAGTTGAGTGCGGTTCGACGATTGAAGCAAATCGATACAATAATTCTATTTAATATAGCTACATTCTCTTCTCACGGTTGCGAGAAAATGGTATAAAATATACCACACACATTTCACCTACAATTCGACTGATGTCATATTGCACTGAACCCATCTCAAGCACCATTCATTAGCGACTCACTACTCAGCTCTGATTAACGACAAACAATGCAGGCATTGCACAACAACGAATGTGACGTCGCCACACGGACCTGACAATATGCACGCAAGTCACAACCAATGGCCTATACCAAAACTTATACAAGGCAGAGAGCGAGCATTGCCTTATGTAACGTTGACACTTGACAATATCGCAAACCACTTGTAACCGCGAGTGTCGCGGGCCGTATATTTTGGTTGCCTCGTCCTCCGTCGACGAAAGGCATTAGCGGCGCGGTGGAGGCAAAGAGTTCGGCCGCGTGGCGGCGTCACGAACGTTCCGCATTGTTTGGATGAATTGAAAGGCAGAAAGGCGCAAACGATGTAAGTTGGTTGAAATGATTAATTTTTGCTATGTACTGTGCAATGAGTTAATGGCTGACTTCATTCTAAACGATTTAACGACTGTTTCATACGATTTTCTGTTCGTTTCAGAATTTACGGCATAATACAGCTATGTCACAGAATTGCATTATTAGATGGCTGTAACAGTAAATTATCGTAGTCTAGCCACGAATAGCAAATTTCATATGATCTGTATTGATCGGGTTACTATGACCTCCTGCATTGCGGACTTGACCTGTACTAACACAACCTACATGAACTGATTTTACCTGACCAATTCTACGCAACTCCGAATTGTCACCTGTAGTTGTAGATGTATGATATCGTCTCCTCTGTCACCTTGTGTAGACATTGATTCTTTTCCTGTGGCTGAATTTCATTACCTGAATTCCCTGGTCATCCTCTCACTCCATGATGGCTGAGCATCAAAATGCAGATGATGTGACAGATGGCGTGAGAAGTCGTAAGACAACAGAGAAGGGAGCTCAGTATCGACTCGGTGTAAAACAAAAGGTGTACAAGAGAGCATTGAGTGCAGTAAGGTCCAGTGGTCAGAGGTTGATTGAAGTTATGTCTGCAAATGAAGGCATAGGATGTGTCAAAGCTGAGCTCGAGAACTGGCTGAAGCTGTGTCAGGAGCTGACGTCATCTGATCACGAGTTAAGGTCCCTGCTTCCAGATGATGAGATTGATTACCATGTGAGTAGGCATTTGAGTCAGCTTGATGACAATGATGCCATGAAGGCAAAGGTGTTGAAGTATCTTGCGGACATCAAGCCCGAAGAAATGCCTGCTGATGGTGTTGAACCTCAAGATAGTGCCTCAAACCTCTTTGTGACGTCAAGAACCGCTCTGTCTAGAGTCAGTCAACATTCAGATGGGGGAAGCTCGACGTTGAGCTCCGCCAAGCTGAAGGAGAGACAAAAGCAAGCAGAACTGGCAGCAAGAGCAGCTGTTATCAAGAAAAGCCAAGAAATGAACAAGAGGAAACTGGAACTGCAGTGTGAGGAGGAAGACATGAAGTTGATGACAGAGTTTGCTGTCAGCCAAGCAAGGGAAAGAGCCATTGATGATTTTGAAAGAGATATGAATGACACCACCAGAAACCAAGATGCATTCCAAGCAACGACAGCAAGACGCATGTCCCAGTTGATGCTGGACATGCCACCCCAAGATGCTGCCCCAAGAACCCGAGTCCCACAGACAAGTCAGCAGCAAAGGCCAGCGTCAAATGTCCATGCTCCACAGACAAGTGAACAGGAGCAGAGCATGGATGTTATCCAGGGCCTCGTAAATCTGTTGCAGCGTGAAGTAAAGCAGAGCCACCTTCCTGCTCTGGAACCGGATGTGTTCTATGGTGATGTGGCAAAGTTTGAGTTGTGGCTCAAGTCATTTGAAACATACATAGAAGCCAAGACCAGCTCTCCAATCGAAAGACTGCATTACCTGGGTAAATACACTGAAGGTGAAGCGAAGGCAGCAATTCTTGGATTCATCCAGCTGCGGACAGAAGATGCTTATCAAGAGGCAAAGAACAGACTCAATGACAGATATGGAAACGAGTTTGTACGAGCAGCTGCATACAAACGACGGATCCGAAACTGGCCAAATATCAAGAGTGGAGATGGCAAGGCTCTGAGAGAGTTTGCAGACTTTCTTCAGCAGTGTGATGCCTTGTCAAGGACGTCTGGGCACTTGAAGGTGTTGGACGACCAGCATGAAAACAGCTACATGTTGAAGAAGCTGCCCAAACATGTGGTTGATCGTTGGAGAAGATATGTGGATCAGCGACTGTATGAGCCACAAGATGGTGAGCCAGCAGAATATCCTTTATTCAAGGAATTCGTGAAGTTCCTGGCGAAGGAAGCGAGAGTGGCCTGTGGTCCCGTCGAAGACTCTGCCAACAAAGAAGAGAAGGATGTGCGCAGAGACAGGAGAGTTGTAAGAGCGCTCCAGACGACTGCTGCACCAGCCTCAAAGAGGGACAGCCACAGTGTTGTCAGACCAGGGTGTGTGGTGTGCTCTGACCGCTCAGGCGTTTCAGTTGCTGCCGCTCACCCAGTGGCAGAGTGTGAACAGTTTACCAAGATGACCCTTGAAGAGAAGCAGGCTGCAGTGATGAAGTATGGACTCTGCAGAGGATGCTTGAGGCGTGGACATGTCTGGCGGTCCTGCCAAAGGAAGATGAAGTGTGAAACCTGTGGAAAAGGTCACCCCACTGCCCTTCATGATGACAAGTTTCCTGTTGCAGCACAGAGCAGGGCAATCAGCGAAACTCGGAGGGACCTCATTCAGCGCGGAGATGCTGAGACTCAGAGGAGGAGCAGTCGGCCTGAAGGAGCAACGGACCAGCTCCAAGCTACATCCCTGCGTGTGATGTCCGGAGTTGGAGATAAGAGACCAGGCTGCGTCCACTCAATGATCCTGCCTGTGTTCGTTCGTCACAGGGAGCACCCTGATGTCAAGGTTCTAACCTATGCTGTCCTTGACCCACAGTCTGACGCGTGCTTTGTGACAGGCGGCACTTGCGAGGCTCTCCAGATCCAGGGTCAGCCAGTCTCCCTGGAGCTGAAGACAGTCACGGGCCAGTCAGTTGTGTCCAGCTCAGTCGTTGATGACCTGGTGATTGAGCCTGTGCAGGGAGGTGACAGCATCGTCCTTCCTCAGTGCTATTCGCGTGAGGTGATTCCAGCAGAGCGTTCGTGCATCCCCAGAAGAGAGTCTGCCAGGAAGTGGTCTCACCTGGCGCCGATCGCAGATGAGATACCGCTGTACTACCCTGCAGCTGGAATCGGCCTTCTCGTCGGGATGAACTGCCCAAAAGCCGTGAAGCCCAGAGACGTCATCACAGGTGACGACAACGACCCGTGGGCTGTAAGGACCGTACTGGGATGGGGCATCGTAGGCCCTGTCTGTGACAGCGAGAACATCAATTCTGGATGCCAGTACATCGACGCAGGAAAAGGAACCCGCAGGCTGTGTCACTTCGCATTCAGGACTACAGCTCATGAGATGACTCCTCAGCAGCTTCATGAGATGTTTGAACAGGACTTTGTGGAGACAAGAGAGGAGAAACCACAGTCAGTTGAAGACAGGATGTTCCTGAAGATGATGTCCGAAGAGATCCATCAGAAAGAAGACGGGCACTACGAGATGCCGCTTCCGCTGAAGGGAGACGTCAGACTGCCGAACAACAGAGCTGCAGCAGTGCAGCGCCTCAAAGGACTCCGCTCGAAGCTAGTACGAAATGATGCATTCCGGCGTGACTACACAACGTTCATGGAAGCCACGATCGCCAATGGTCACGCTGAGAAGGTCCCAACAGATGAACAGCAGCTCAGCAATGGCAGGGTATGGTATTTGCCCCACCACGGCATATACCACCCGAAGAAGCCGGACAAAATCCGTGTCGTTTTTGACTGTAGCACCGAATTTGGTGGAGAGGTGCTGAACAGTCATCTATTGCAAGGACCCGACATGACGAACAGCCTCGCCGGAATCCTCTGTCGTTTTCGGATGAAACCGATCGCTCTTACATGTGATATCAGAGGCATGTTCAATCAGGTGGGGGTCAACAGAACCGATCGTAACTTCCTGAGGTTCCTCTGGTGGGAAAACGGTGACGTGAATCAGGAGCCCGAGGAGTACCGAATGACGACACATTTGTTCGGCGCAAGATCTTCACCAGCATGTGCTATGTTCGCCCTCAGAACAGCAGCCGACAGCTACGCAGATGAAAGTGGAAAAGAAGCTGCCGACTTCGTAAGAAGAAACTTTTACATCGACGACGGTCTCACGTCCGTAGATGACGAAGACACAGCTGTGCGCCTCATCGACGCGACTCGCCAGTTGTGTAAGCAGGGTGGATTTGAACTACACAAGCTGTCGTCTAACAGCGTTGAAGTCCTGAAATCTGTGCCGCCAGAGAGCCGCTGCTCTACTACGCAGAGTCTGGAAGCCGGAGCGGGCAGGCTGCCCATCCAGCGAGCTCTTGGCATAGAGTGGGACACAGAAAACGACGTACTTCAGTTCAGTGTGAAGCCCAACGAGAAACCACCAACTAGAAGGGGGATGCTGTCTGTGGTTAGCTCCATATTTGACCCCCTCGGCTTCATCTCTCCATTTATTCTGAGAGGCAAGCAAATTCTAAAGGAGTTGTGCCGTGATGGTCTCGGCTGGGACGACCCAGTCCCAGAGACTCTGCTGATGCGCTGGAATGAATGGATGTCAGAGCTGGAGACCCTGTCAACCCTGAAAATTCGAAGATGTTACACACCGATGGACTTCGGAGACCTGCAGCAAGTGGAACTGCACCACTTCTCCGATGCCAGCACGCACGGATACGGTCAGTGCAGTTACCTCCGCCTCATAGACGACCAGAACAGAGTCAGCTGTAGACTTGTGATGAGTAAGGCCAGGGTGACTCCTTCCAAACCCGTTACAGTCCCTCGCCTCGAGCTCACCGCAGCACTGATTTCCGTTCAAGTGAGCAGCTTCCTTCAGAAAGAACTTGACCTCGGCAGTGTCGCCGAATTCTTCTGGACCGACAGCAAGGTGGCCATCGGCTACATCTCCAACGAGGCCAGACGCTTCCACGTGTTTGTGGGAAACCGAGTCCAACAGATTAGGGATCGTACAGAGCCCCGTCAATGGCGGTATGTCGAGTCCAAGATGAATCCTGCTGATCTCGCCTCAAGAGGCACGAGCGCCGCCGAGCTCAGAGACAACACCTTGTGGTGGTCCGGACCACCATTCCTGAACAGTGTGAACCCACTGCCGGATCAGAAGGTGAGCCCAACTGTGGACCAGAGTGACCCTGAGGTGAAGCACACCATTCGACCAGTCGTTACGTTTCAGACTGCTGCATCAGAGACACGTCCCCGTGCCACCGTGACCGAGAGACTTCAGCGTTTCTCGACCTGGCACCGGGCCAAGAGAGCTGTTGCGCTATGTCTGAGGTACATGGACGTGCTGCAGGGACGGCGCCACTCAGTTGGACAACCACTGACGGTTGAAGACCTGCAAAGAGCAGAGACAGCGATGATAAGGGCTACGCAAGCTGAAGCGTTCCCAGAAGAGCTGAAAGTGTTGAAGAAGATGAAGAAGACTGATGAAGTGAAGATGAGTGTCAAGAAGACCAGCAGGCTCGTGAGGTTGGATCCTTTCCTTGGAGCCGATGGATTGATTCATGTAGGCGGCAGGATCCGAAGGGCAGAACTACCAGTGACTGAGCTGCACCCAGTCATCCTCCCGCGAGCAAGTCACGTCACCTGCCTACTTGTCGACCACTGCCACCAGAGAACCCGCCACGCTGGCCGCGGGATGACCCTAGCAGAGATCCGCTCTGCAGGGTTCTGGGTAGTTGGAGCCAGAGGTGTAGTCTCGCGCCACATCCTGGCCTGTGTGACCTGCAAGAAGATCCGTGGATCTCCAGTGGAGCAGAAGATGGCTGACCTGCCGGAAGACCGCCTGAGCCCTGCCGAGCCGTTCACGCACAGTGCAGTGGACCTGTTCGGCCCGTTTTACATCAAGGAACGGCGGAGCGAGCTCAAACGATGGGGAGTTCTGTTCACTTGCATGGCATCAAGGGCTGTGCATATTGAGACGGCCAATTCCCTCACGACAGACTCCTTCTTGAATGCTTTCAGGAGGTTTGTCGGTAGACGCGGTCCAGTGAGAACGCTACGCTGCGACAGGGGCACAAATTTCGTCGGCGGGAAGAACGCGATGGAAGAAGCTTTGAAAGAAATGGACCACGAGAAAGTTCAAAGGGAGCTCCTGAAAGAGAACTGTGATCTCGTCGAGATGAAGATGAATGTGCCGTGCGCCAGCCACATGGGCGGCACGTGGGAGCGGATGATTCGCTCCGCAAGAGGTCAGCTCGACGACGAGACGCTGAGAACAGTGATGGTGGAGGCCGAAGCAATCATGAACAGCCGTCCCATATCCTCTCCCGACATGACCCAAACTGACCTAGTAGAACCGCTAACACCTAACCAAATACTAACTCAAAAGACTAGACGAGTACTGCCCCTCCCTGGTAGATTCCAGTCAGCAGATGCTTACTCTCGCCAGCGCTGGCGTAGAGTCCAGCTAGTAGCAGACCGCTTCTGGTCAAGATGGAGGACGGAGCTCTTGTCTTCACTCCAAGAGCGCCGACGATGGAGGTCGGCGAGGCCCAACGTTCAACCGGGCGACGTCGTGCTCCTGATGGAGGAATCTCCGAGAGGCAGCTGGCCTCTGGGCCGGATCGTCGAGGCCGTGCCCAGCCGTGACGGCCTGGTGAGGAAGGTGAAGGTTCGCTCCGGAGGCCGGGACCTGGAGCGGCCTGTGCACGGCATCGTCGGCCTGACGCGCTGAGCGGTGTGGCCGGCGTGGCAGAGACCGGGACCTGACCGTGGCGACTCTCAGCCCGGGCGCCGAGCGGGGTGAGATGTGATACAGACTCGGTGAATGGAGGACTCGAGCGGCGGATGTGGCCGTGCGATGACGGTCCAGGGTGGTGTCTCCATCTGCGGGTGGCCGTCGCCATCCGACATCTGACTGATCGGAGCCAGTGTGTGTACCTACCTATTCACCGGCAGGGAGTTGTCAGCCGAGACACGCACTCTGACGATCGGACTGTGGTGTTATGAGGAGCCACGCGCTGTGAGAACGCATTCCTAAGTGTTACGAGGAGCCACTCGTGTTTTGAAAGGTGCATTTTGAGTGTCATGGGGAGTCACACGTGCCGTGAGAAGTGCTCACCTAAGCGTTATGAGAAGTCATGAGTCATGCGCAGTCACATGCGTGGCGATAAGTGTGTGGGAGATGCTAGAGAAGTAAATTTTGTTTACCAAATTTAGAGGAGCCATGTAACCGCGAGTGTCGCGGGCCGTATATTTTGGTTGCCTCGTCCTCCGTCGACGAAAGGCATTAGCGGCGCGGTGGAGGCAAAGAGTTCGGCCGCGTGGCGGCGTCACGAACGTTCCGCATTGTTTGGATGAATTGAAAGGCAGAAAGGCGCAAACGATGTAAGTTGGTTGAAATGATTAATTTTTGCTATGTACTGTGCAATGAGTTAATGGCTGACTTCATTCTAAACGATTTAACGACTGTTTCATACGATTTTCTGTTCGTTTCAGAATTTACGGCATAATACAGCTATGTCACAGAATTGCATTATTAGATGGCTGTAACACCACTGTAGGCCATATTTTGAACATCACACGGTCTTTGTCCAGCCATTACATGTACTTGTAGAATACGGACAGGAAGATTCGATATATCGGCTATACATAGGCAAAGAATCGGACCTCGCTAGACTCTGGACACGATACTTCGTACGGGGTCTCTAGAGTCCATAATTCTAGATGACTGGTTGGAGGTCGTGCACTGCTGCAGTCCTACATAGTGCGTTGTCGACTGGTGAAGATTGACTGCGGGGACCGGTTATTTTATAGCGTTGAGTCGAGTCGGCAGCGATCCGGATATTCGCCGGTTGATCGATCCCTGCGGAAGACCACTTAGCGCACCAGCCCACCCCCAACTGACCATTCAGAAAGGTCGTGATTGCCAGGTCACTACCTAGAACCAACAGAACTGACCTACCCACACCGGCCGGCTCGTCACCTAGGAGTACCCTCCTCGCTGTGTCCCGTCCGACTCCGCTCCTCTGCCCTCCTCTCCCCACCCCTCCCACTGCCCTCGAGGAACAGCTGCACCAGCCGGTCAGCGGCCACCCCGGGCGGCAGTCGTCCGGTGGCCACCTCCCGCTCCAGTCTGGGCAGCCGACTGCGCACGGCCGGGTGGCGTCGGAACGCGTCCACCACGGCGCGCTCGATCTGCGACCACAGCCAGACGGCGCGCTGCCGGCGCCGCCGGGCGGCCAGCTGGCCGTCGGCCGTCATCCGCTCCCGGAAGGCGGTCAGAGTCTGCCACAGCTCGGTCATGCCGTCGCCGGTGCGCGCCGAGCAGCGCAACACCGGCACCCGCCAGCCGGCCAGCCGCGGACGCACGAACTTGAGCGCCGACAGGTACTCGGCCTGAATGCGCCGCGCCGCCGGCACCAGATCGCCGTCACTCTTGTTGATGGCGATCACGTCAGCTAGCTCGACGATACCGCGCTTCAAGCCCTGCAGCAGAGGAAGGAGACGGTGTTTGAACGGGACATACTACGAGAGACACATCCTCACATAATTGTTGGAATCTGACCGATGCCCAGTAACTAGACGAGCGAATCGGATCATGGCACTTGGAAGAGAATGCGTTTTGTGGGGGAAGGAGAGGGAGAAAGAGGGACGTTACCTGAAGTTCGTCCCCTCCGGCAGGCGGCATCAGCAGCAGGAACACGTCCACCATTTCAGAGACGCTGATCTCCGATTGGCCCACACCTGTCATAAGAGATATATGGTCAGCAGTCATAGCATCATCAGGCCAATGGTTAGACAACAGCCGTCAGCGCACGGCAGATAAACGCTTAGAACGAACGGGCAGACGTAGAGCTTAGAGCAGAAATCAGCGTTTGCTCCTGTTTTTGGAAAAGATATGCTGACAAATGGTTCTTGTTTATCAATCTAGTTCGGATATTTTGAATGGATGGATCGACAGAGCCAGACCCCGTACTGAGCAAAGCTTGTTGCGCACACCACATCCAGTTCCACCGTCCGATCGATAAATTCCGTCTTGATGGGATAGTTAAGAAGGCAAGACGTGCTAACACATTTCGGAAGAGCACTTCCCTCCCCGCCCGCAGAACTCACCGACCGTTTCGACGATGATGACGTCATAGGCCGCTCTCTCGCACAGCAGGATGGTGTCGTTAGTGACGCGGGTGACGCCGCCGAGGTGTCCGCCGGTGGGCGACGGGCGGATGTACGCGGCCGGGTCCACCGTCAGCCGCGGCATCCGCGTCTTGTCGCCCAGTAGCGAGCCTGCAGCGGAGCGGAGAGCGTCACAGCACGGCATAAAGACAGACGAGCTACCCTACTCAACCGAAAAGGGTTCTGGCACACGCGACAAACAGGCAAAAATGATCGTTTTTGAAAGCAATGTGATTAGGCCTCTATTAGGCAGTTCGTCACTTACCTCCAGTGGTGTTGGAGGACGGGTCCACGGCCAGGACGGCCACCCGGTGACCGGCGCCCGTCAGCTGCTTTCCCAGCGTCTCTATGAACGTCGACTTGCCGGCGCCCGGAGGGCCCGACAGACCTGGATGGGATGGCGTCATCTTCAGGGACCAATCGCTCACTGAATTGCATGGCACACCACGTTGACATACCACATTGAAACATTGTGTGAAAGAGTTGATGTGGTCACATCAAAGTCTTAAGATTTAACATGCCAGTTATGCTTATCATTCCAAATAAGAGTAAAATAAAGATAGAAAAATCACATCAGGGAACTGGCATGTTCAAATGGCTAAAACTTCCTGAGCCTGCAGGAAGTCAATGGTGTTTCTTTTATAACATAGTTCTCAGTTTTAATGGTCACTCATGACACAGTAAACACTGATCAAAGAAACATAATCAATATTGAAGGCACGCAGATAAGCTTGGTGAGGGATAACAAATAAGCCAAAAACTGTCAAGCATTACTTACCAATTCTAAATGATGATGGTATGCCTTTATTTCTATCTTGCTCCTTTTGCAAGTCTGCTGATACCATTGAGACCAGATTTTGAGCAAGCTTTCTTTTCTTGGCATTGCTTGTCTCTACCAGAGTAATCGCTCTGGCTAAACTGGTTCTGTCTTTTGCACATAATCCTTCAAAGAGCTGTTGGACTAGTGCTTCTGATGAATATGGTCTCTGTATTTGTTTGTATATGTATCTACCAGTAGGTTTGGATAATCTATGAAAGTTGCATAATGATTTAACAATGGAATGCATCATTTGTCAGAATTATACCTTTGAAGTTCCCTGGAAAACAAAAACTAGTAGTCATGCAAAGCACAACAAAGAATCAAACAAAAAACTGGATGCATCATGGAGTTATAAATAAATTGACATATTGGAATCTTAATACATCAAGAAAAAATGAAAATTGAAAAATATGAATCAAGTTCATCAGCTGTTGTTCAAATTAAAAAGACAGGTCTTGGTCGTGGTCGTGGAAAAAAAAAAGACAGATAAATCCAAACCAATGCATAGATATTGTTATATATCAAGTTAGCTGGAGTAAGACAGATGGTATCATCATAAATGATCATAAATGATGCTCCATAAGACAACTAGGTACTTATAAATGTGCTTATTTGAAGCTTGTAAAATATTGTGTTAAATAAGGTACCAACATAAAAAATAGGTAAGCATCAAGGCCAAAACAAGCCTTAATTTGTAAATGCATATACAAACAAGGCACCACATTCATAAGGAATGGATCCACCTAAAGCATCAACATGGAAAATGTGGCTCACAAATAGTCAAATGGGTTTGTATAGCCTTGAGATAGACTAATCAGGCTGGTAAAAGCAATTTCACTTTACATTTCATTTTAATTTGAATTTGTCTATTCGAAATCTGCTTTTGGTGAAAGTATACATTGAGCTCGAGTGACTGTTAAAAGATAAAGTTTTCATATTCTTACATTATTTGACGTCCTGAATCCAAAAATAATACTTATATGTCCTGGAAATAAAAGAAAAAACATAATCAAACCTGACCTAACCTTACCTATTTACCTACAACCTACCAACCTACAACCTAACCTAACCTACAAACCTACCAACCTAAAACCTACAAACCTACAACCTAACCTAACCTAACCTAACCTAAAACCTAAATTTTTTGCTGTTACATATTTGTATCAACAGCGTCACAATTGTCCACTCGGACCTAATATATACTAATACCCTGCTTTTAAGGGACAACACTATTCGACCGCCACCCTTGCAGCCATTCTATAACTCAGGAACTACTGGACCGATCGGAACGAACGAAACACCATTCGAATCAGGAGGTACGATTTTATCAGCCGTTTCGAAGCTCGTGACCCCAGGTGACCTCGGTGACCTCAAGAGGTCAACTCGACATTGACGCCTATTGCAGCCATTCTGTAACTCAGGAACTACTGGACCGATCGCGACGAAAACACCACCAGTCGAATCAGCGTATGCGATTTCATCAGCCGTTTCGAACATGGTGACCTCAGGTGACCTCGGTGACCTCAAAAGGTCAACTTTACGTTTTCGCCTATTGCAGCCATTCTATAACTCAGGAACTACTGGGCCGATCGTGACGAAAACACCACCAGTCTATTCAGCGTATGCGATTTCATCAGCCGTTTCGAATATGGTGACCTCAGGTGACCTCGGTGACCTTGGGAGGTCACATGACCGTTGTGGCCTATGGCAGCCATTCTATAACTCAGGAACTACTGGGCCGATCGTGACGAAAACACCACCAATCGAATCAGCGTATGCGATTTCATCAGCCGTTTCGAATATGGTGACCTCAGGTGACCTCGGTGACCTTGGGAGGTCACATGACCAATGTGGCCTATGGCAGCCATTCCATAACGCAGGAACTACTGGGCCGATCGTGACGAAAACATCACCAGTCGATTCAGCGTATGCGATTTTATCAGCCGTTTCGAATATGGTGACCTCAGGTGACCTCAGTGACCTTGGGAGGTCACATGACCAATGTGGCCTATTGCAGCCATTCTATAACTGAGGAACTACTGGGCCGATCGTGACGAAAACATCACCAGTCGATTCAGGGTATACGATTTCATCAGCCGTTTCGAATATGGTGACCTCAGGTGACCTCGGTGACCTCAAAAGGTCAACTTTACGTTTTCGCCTATTGCAGCCATTCTATAACTCAGGAACTACTGGGCTGATCGTGACGAAAACCCCACCAGTCGATTCAGCGTATACGATTTCATCAGCCGTTTCGAATATGGTGACCTCAGGTGACCTCGGTGACCTTGGGAGGTCACATGACCGTTGTGGCCTAAGGCAGCCATTCTATAACTCAGGAACTACTGGGCCGATCGTGACGAAAACACCACCAATCGAATGAGCGTATGCGATTTCATCAGCCGTTTCGAATATGGTGACCTCAGGTGACCTCGGTGATCTTGGGAGGTCACATGACCGTTGTGGCCTATGGCAGCCACTCTATAACTCAGGAACTACTGGGCTGATCGCGACGAAAACACCACCAGTCGATTCAGCGTATGCGATTTCATCAGCCGTTTCGAATATGGTGACCTCAGGTGACATCGGTGACCTTGGGAGGTCACATGACCAATGTGACCTATGGCAGCCATTCCATAACGCAGGAACTACTGGGCCGATCGTGACGAAAACATCACCAGTCGATTCAGCGTATACGATTTCATCAGCCGTTTCGAATATGGTGACCTTAGGTGACCTCAGTGACCTCAAAAGGTCAACTTTACGTTTTCGCCTATTGCAGCCATTCTATAACTCAGGAACTACTGGGCTGATCGTGACAAAAACCCCACCAGTCGATTCAGCGTATGCGATTTCATCAGCCGTTTCGAATATGGTGACCTCAGGTGACCTCGGTGACCTCAAAAGGTCAACTTTATGTTTTCGCCTATTGCAGCCATTCTATAACTCAGGAACTACTGGGCTGATCGTGACGAAAACACCACCAGTCGATTCAGCGTATGCGATTTCATCAGCCGTTTCGAATATGGTGACCTCAGGTGACCTCGGTGACCTTGGGAGGTCACATGACCAATGTGGCCTATGGCAGCCATTCTATAACTCAGGAACTACTGGGGCGATCGTGACGAAAACACCACCAATCGAATCAGCGTATGCGATTTCATCAGCCGTTTTGAATATGGTGACCTCAAGTGACCTCGGTGACCTTGGGAGGCCACATGACCAATGTGGCCTATGGCAGCCATTCTATAACTCGGGAACTACTAGGCCGATCGTGCCGAAGACACCACCAGGCGATTCAGCATATGCGATTTCATCAGCCGTTTCGAATATGGTGACCTCAGGTGACCTCAGTGACCTTGGGAGGTCACATGACCGATGTGGCCTATGGCAGCCATTCTATAACTCAGGAACTACTATGCCGATCGAGACGAAAACACCACCAATCGAATCAGCGTATGCGATTTCATCAGCCGTTTTGAATATGGTGACCTCAGGTGACCTCGGTGACCTTGGGAGGTCACATGATCAATGTGGCCTATTGCAGCCATTCTATAACTCAAGAACTACTAGGCTGATCGCGACGAAAACACCACCAGTCGATTCAGCGTATGCGATTTCATCAGCCGTTTCGAATATGGTGACCTCAGGTGACCTCGATGACCTTGGGAGGTCACATGACCGTTGTGGCCTAAGGCAGCCATTCTATAGCTCAGGAACTACTGGGCCGATCGTGACGAAAACACCACCAATCGAATCAGCGTATGCGATTTCATCAGCCTTTTCGAATATGGTGACCTCAGGTGACCTCGGTGACCTTGGGAGGTCACATGACTGTTGTGGCCTATGGCAGCCATTCTATGACTCAGGAACTACTGGGCCGATCGTGACGAAAACACCACCAATCGAATCAGCGTATACGATTTCATCAGCCGTTTCCAATATGGTGACCTCAGGTGACCTCGGTGACCTTGGGAGGTCACATGACCAATGTGGCCTATGGCAGCCATTCTATAACTCAGGAACTACTGGGCCGATCGTGACGAAAACACCACCAGTCGATTCAGCGTATGCGATTTCATCAGCCGTTTCGAATATGGTGACCTCAGATGACCTCGGTGCCCTTGGGAGGTCACATGACCAATGTGGCCTATGGCAGCCATTCTATAACTCAGGAACTACTGGGCTGATCGTGACGAAAACACCACCAGGTGATTCAGCGTATGCGATTTCATCAGCCGTTTCGAATATGGTGACCTCAGGTGACCTCAGTGACCTTGGGAGGTCACATGACCGATGTGGCCTATGGCAGCCATTCTCTAACTCAGGAACTACTGGGCCGATCGCGACGAAAACACCACCAGTCGATTCAGCGTATGCAATTTCATCAGCCGTTTCGAATATGGTGACCTCAGGTGGCCTCGGTGACCTTGGGAGGTCACATGACCGTTGTGGCCTATGGCAGCCACTCTATAACTCAGGAACTACTGGGCCGATCGTGACGAAAACACCACCAATCGAATCAGCGTATGCGATTTCATCAGCCGTTTTGAATATGGTGACCTCAGGTGACCTCGGTGACCTTGGGAGGTCACATGACCAATGTGGCCTATTGCAGCCATTCTATAACTCAAGAACTACTGGGCTGATCGCGACGAAAACACCACCAGTCGATTCAGCGTATGCGATTTCATCAGCCGTTTCGAATATGGTGACCTCAGGTGACCTCGGTGACCTTGGGAGGTCACATGACCGTTGTGGCCTATGGCAGCCATTCTATAACTCAGGAACTACTGGGCGGATCATGAAGAAAACACCACCAATCGAATCAGCGTATGCGATTTCATCAGCCGTTTTGAATATGGTGACCTCAGGTGACCTCGGTGACCTTGGGAGGTCACATGATCAATGTGGCCTATTGCAGCCATTCTATAACTCAAGAACTACTAGGCTGATCGCGACGAAAACACCACCAGTCGATTCAGCGTATGCGATTTCATCAGCCGTTTCGAATATGGTGACCTCAGGTGACCTCGATGACCTTGGGAGGTCACATGACCGTTGTGGCCTAAGGCAGCCATTCTATAGCTCAAGAACTACTGGGCCGATCGTGACGAAAACACCACCAATCGAATCAGCGTATGCGATTTCATCAGCCTTTTCGAATATGGTGACCTCAGGTGACCTCGGTGACCTTGGGAGGTCACATGACTGTTGTGGCCTATGGCAGCCATTCTATGACTCAGGAACTACTGGGCCGATCGTGACGAAAACACCACCAATCGAATCAGCGTATACGATTTCATCAGCCGTTTCCAATATGGTGACCTCAGGTGACCTCGGTGACCTTGGGAGGTCACATGACCAATGTGGCCTATGGCAGCCATTCTATAACTCAGGAACTACTGGGCCGATCGTGACGAAAACACCACCAGTCGATTCAGCGTATGCGATTTCATCAGCCGTTTCGAATATGGTGACCTCAGATGACCTCGGTGCCCTTGGGAGGTCACATGACCAATGTGGCCTATGGCAGCCATTCTATAACTCAGGAACTACTGGGCTGATCGTGACGAAAACACCACCAGGTGATTCAGCGTATGCGATTTCATCAGCCGTTTCGAATATGGTGACCTCAGGTGACCTCAGTGACCTTGGGAGGTCACATGACCGATGTGGCCTATGGCAGCCATTCTCTAACTCAGGAACTACTGGGCCGATCGCGACGAAAACACCACCAGTCGATTCAGCGTATGCAATTTCATCAGCCGTTTCGAATATGGTGACCTCGGGTGACCTCGGTGACGTCAAAAGGTCAACTTTACGTTTTCGCCTATTGCAGCCATTCTATAACTCAGGAACTATTGGGCCGATCGTGACGAAAACACCACCAATCGAATCAGCGTATGCGATTTCATCAGCCGTTTTGAATATGGTGACCTCAGGTGACCTCGGTGACCTTGGGAGGTCACATGACCAATGTGGCCTATTGCAGCCATTCTATAACTCAAGAACTACTGGGCTGATCGCGACGAAAACACCACCAGTCGATTCAGCGTATGCGATTTCATCAGCCGTTTCGAATATGGTGACCTCAGGTGACCTCGGTGACCTTGGGA